GAGAAGTTGCAAACATCGGTCGCTGCTCCTTATCTAGGCCTTCCTTTCAAACGCCTCTACGATTCTAATTGATAGCGATTGCGTGGCTCACTCTAAAGCTTCGGCCAACGTCGTTCACAATATCTTTGAAATCCTGTTGTTTTCCCTTTTCTTTTCCCTAGCCGTTTGGTGAAGTAACATCGAACAATTGTTCTTTATTTATGAAAATATCAGGTACATATATGAACACATTTTTGACTTCTAGGGTATCGGAAAGGGGAAAAGTAAGAGTTAGAGATCTGCAATTGGATGTTGCTTTGATTGGATTAGACTGAATTTGATTGGATGTGGCTTAGGTTTATGGAAACTGAGAGATGAGAACCACCGAGTCAAACAAATAGATTCCCATTTCAGTCGTTAAGAAGTAAAGGACTGACCCAGTTTTTTTCAGCTGCACACCGAAAAGAAAAGCAATGGAGAGTTTCCGATAGAGGTATTTTCGACGTCTTCAAGACGATGTGAAATTGCTCGTCAACACATTTTGGGTTATCTCGCCAGTAATCATGCTGCATCAGAAGATATGAGCTCGTCAACGATCAAGAGAGAGGTGGTAGTTGTTTTACTCCTTCACTATTATTTTTATTTATACAGCACATTTTATTTACAATTTTTTCTCGGTAAGTTTTCATCGCTAAGGTTTTTGAAGTGTGGATGGGCCGCGTTGAGAGGTGGTCAATTGACCACGGGTAAGCATAGCGCGCAGACAGCTGGTCAGCAGTTAAACGGTTGGAAACAACTATTGAAAAATGCTCCACTTCTGGAAAAAAAAGCAGTGAAACCTATTAAGAAAGGGGCAGCTTTTGACGCAGGGTCGGTAGAGTTCTCACGTAGTGTGGGACGCTCCAGTAGATCTGTGCGATAAGCAGAGAGGAATTTGCGAATGTGCATTCCCAGGTAATACATTACGTGGATTGGGGCATTGCCGATGCGCGGAAATCAAAAAACCGCTGCAGGTGGAAGGCTATACCGCGAATGATTACGGCCATCAAAGCCTGGAGATGAGAGTATAGCAGAGCTCCCGGAACACTTACGTTGTGGATTTTAGTCAGGCAGATGTGATCGTACTGTCAAGTACTACACTTGCGTGCGCGATTGGGTAGATGCCACCCGGTCCAACCATGCTTTCCATCCATTCCATGGTCGCTTCACTAAGACAGGAGGCGTATGTAGCACTATCTTTTGGGCACGGAGGAGAAGTTCTTGAAATCTATTTTTTTGTCTTTTTTCTGTGATATTTACTTCACTTTCAGGGCATTTTTTTACACACCCGTCACAGATGGATGGGGGAGGGGAGGACGAGGGGGGTGGAATAAATGGAGTTTAATAAAGTCCCTTCCTTTCGCCCGATAGGGGATATGGGAGCACACGATCCCAGATCATCTGGGAGGACAAAAACACATCTGTTCCAAAGTATGCTGAGTTATGAACAAAGCTTCCGCCCCAGTTTGTTCATAACCCAGAATTATTGTGGAGCTTTTGCAAAGCAAACTGTGGCCCAAAACAGCGCCTAAAATCAAAAACTGGTCGGTTCGTTGATTTGCCGCCTAAGTCGCTCTGGTCCCTCATTTTGCATTCAAGTGCCATTATGGTCCTTGAAGTGATTCGTGTGCATGGCGTATACCAAACGGATAAATTTTCTGATAATTTCGTATCACGGTTGCACTGACGTCTACGTGTTCAGGTACGTGCTCGTCCCAAAGTGCACCTTGATATAAGTCCGAAAAAATTGAATAAAAAGCATAATGATTGATGAATTTTGTTTTGCTGTGATGGATTTCGTGATTATTCTGCAAGTAATATTCTACGATGTTATAAACATGATATCAACATATGTGCGTAGGTTCGAGTATAACTGTGTAAATTTTTTCTTTAATCTTCGAAAATCATTCCTTCAAATCCTATCGATTAGAAACGTAAGGATTCGTTTGTTTGTTTTTTGAATAGCGTTAAAATATTTCATTGTGATTTATGACGTTGAACGCATTGTTTTTGTATAGGCAATTATGCTGATCCTCTAGTCTAAATGTTCTAAACTTCTAAAAGGCGTGTGTATACAGTATCTTGTGAATACAACTTTTTTTGTTTGTTACTTGTGAGTGTTCTTGTTCATTACTTCATGTGTTAAATTATTCTCTTAAATAATAATGAATTGTTTTTATGTCATCGGGCAACATCTGACGCTCTTACACAACATCTGAAGGTCTATCAAAGGAAAAACATATTTACAAATTGCTACACAGAAGAGTACTTTTTCACAACAAGAGGTCTCATCTGAAGGGTCCTGAGTTTTTGTCAAGCCTGGCCAAATACGAGCCATGGCTTGGCGCAATGTGGCAGTCGCCGCTGGGGCGCCTGGCATGTTCGCGAAATAGTGGAGTTCCCTAGCAAAGTCTAAAGAGCTTCGCCTTCCATGAAAATTCAATAAATTACGATTTTCTACCCAGATTACTACCCAGGCTAAACCACAACTGTTGATGCTGCGGGCAAAAATCATGATTCTGTCCTCATTAGCCTATCACTTTAGTATAATAACTACGAGATATTACTGTTGCATTTCATCATATCTAACACTGTTTCCACTGTGTCATATAGGATGACGTTTTTATTTTTTATGATCCTCTTTCTGGCCTCAGGATGCGACTTGAGTTCAGCTGTCTGTCAACAAAGCCTATTTTGAAGCCATGCCACCACCCAGCCAGTTGTGGTGATGCTGTTCATAGTCTTCAAGCTCCACTAGATAGTCTTTTTCGTACTGCTATCCATCTCACCTCGGTCCCCACGTATCGCTGACACTGTCTGGCCCTAGGGCCGACCCGCGGCGCGGCGCTGACACACCCCTTCTCGCCGCCCCCCGCCCCCCCCCCCCCCTCCCCCGTCTGTTTTTTTTTTTCTTTTTTTTTTTAATTTTTTTTGCGCGTGGGGAGGTTGTCGCAGCCCGTTCTGGCAACGTCGACTTCAATTATTGCAGCTCTGTTTGTATTCTTTCATCGCGCTTTTGGATGAGAAAGATATTTAACTTGCGATCCCATCACCACACCTCACCACACCCCGCAAAAGGGCAAAAACAAACTCGCACCAAACCAACACGCGCCACCACGCTGCCCCCAGAAGGGTCTCGCGGACGCCCCTCCCAACGTTCACGCCATCCCCGTCCCGCTTACCGCTATCTTCAGGCATCACGCCCCATGTCTGGTCCACGTGGGACCCGGTACAGCGCCCCCTCTTCCGCGATGTGCCGGCATTGTTCCTAATGATACTTTCCTCTGGAAGAAAGGCACCAATAGCCAACTTGGTCCGCGGCCTTATCGCACATATTGCTTGTCAATGCTGTCGCTCCTTGTACGTTTACAACTACTATAGGCAAGACTTTCTGCTTCGTACTCATTTTCAGCGTCCATTCTAGTATTGCCCACATGATCAATGCCAAACCTTGATCGTTGCAGGCTTGTCTAATACGGTTACTTAGTATCAGACCTAATGTTTTTTCCCTTGGGCACACTCGTGTAATGTACGTTAAATAAATAAATGAATAAATCTTCATGCAAATGTATAACTACCTGTAGGGCCGCCAACAGACCGATAACAGACAGGCCTATACGGATTCCCAACGTTACCAAATGTAACCACGATTAGCTGTGTGTGCGCCCCGTGCAGCATGCAGGCGCTCTTCTAAGCCGAAGCCAGGATCAACATAGACCAAAACGGTTCGAAATTACACCAGTGGCTGAATAAACGAATAGACCCGGCAGCCAGAGAAAAGAGCAGAGTAGGTAATATTACATTGACCCGTTGTGAACGAGACAGACAACCTCAAACCAAGGGAAAGTAAGTTAGCCGCTCCATGTGAAAGTGTGGTACGACACTCATAACTCACACTGCGTCAATCCGTGTTGAAAAGGAGCCGGTATACGTAAGCCGGCATCACGGGCCGCTACCACCCAAACAATCGAGTGAAAACTCGGAAAAGAATAGACTCAGCATTGTTATCTTTCGTCGCTCCTCATAACTTGAATGTAAATTGATTCCAATCATCATCACTTACTGCGTTAATTGCACTCGACGTTTATAATGCGCTTGGCGGTAGTTACCATTGTGAATTTATCACTTAGACTGGTTGAACCCGCCCATAACTGAAAAATGACGCTGTGCTTTCGGTACTCTGTCCACTGTTACTGCCCTCCAAACCTAGAGCTGCTATTTCGTCGAACTTCAGCTTTATAATCAATATCCCTCTGATTACGAATATAAGGAATGCAATGTTGTGCAGAAATACAAAGAAGTGAATGAATAAGAATGAGCGACTGCGATCAAGGGCAGAGATCAACGGGGAAAGCCTGGTATCAGTATTTCTTTATTGTGTTCGGGCACGTCTCGCATTATCCGCCACAGCTACTACCTCGCATATTACAGCACTTCTGCTTTCTCCTTCCTTTCTAAGGCTTAGTCCTCTCACGTGTTGTTGACCATTGCCTCGGGACCGAGCGAGTGATGCTTGCGTCCGCTTCAAAGGGCGCGCCAATGCTTGCTAACCTACACGCGCGTAACCAATGCATAAAGCGGGGATTACCGGTTAACATGTGCTCCGCGCCTTGTTATCCGTCTGTGTAGCAGCGAAACTGGCACCAAGGGTTAAGCCCGTAAATTGATCTAAACTCACCAGAAACACTCACTTTTAGAGAAGCAGTCCTCATTCTCTTCCGAACCCGTCCCCTCGTTAGGCTCAGTCCTAATGGTCTTCTAATAGACTCCCCCCTAGCCCTCCCTCCCCCAAGAAGAACATTGCGCCTCACCGTACTTGTTCCGCAATGCTGCGTGTGGTAAAGTGCTTACGGTTCACGCGCGGTGTTGACGCCTAAAACTGAGGTCAATTCACGCATGCTTCACCGAGAACCTTGGTAATTTCGTCTGTGTTCAGTTCTCCAGCTTTTCGCCAAAAGCTGCCAGATACTAACCGTGTCCTGATGACACGTTTATGTCCCTCATTCAGTACGATTTTGGCTCAAAAGCGCCTTCTTAGTTTATCTTTCCGATGTCTAGCTAAAGAAGATGACTCTTCCAGCTCTGGAACGTCAAAGAGTAGGTTTTTCGTTAATTTTGAGCTGCTAATCTGCTGAAGGTTGTGCAGTAGTAAAAGGCTTCTCCGTCACGTATTGCACAATATTCCAGATTCGTCAGAAGTTACAAATTTAATCATAAGCCAAAAGCTTGGCGAAGACAGCGTGAACGTTTTAAAAATTGTGTGGGTTGTCCTACTTGCTTTTTTCCTAGTAGGATTTTTAATGTTTATTATTAATTGCTGTTGGTTCAGACAACGTTTCCGAAAGCAGCCTAATGAGTGGCCATTGGAAGAGCAGCCATTTGCTATCGTAGAAAAGAAGTTTTTAGGAAAAATAATGCACCCGGTAATTTCAGTGATTCTTGTTAAATTACTCCTCTCAAAACTACGCTGCTCAGGTCGAGTTACGGCCGGAAAGAGGCTTCGTCAACATGGTTCCATTTGGTTTCATGATGCTAAGACATTTCTTTAGGAAATTTCGGGTACGTAATTTTTCATATGTAGTTTTACGTTATTGAGATTGCTTGTTAATTAGACTTTTTGTGAAGAATTCTTGATGCAGGCCAAAGGTAACTACGATCTCTTTCAATCGACTGGAATTTTCGACGAGAAAGAAGTGCGGGCAGGGACCAAAAGAGTTTTCGAAGTCATTAGTCAGCATGCTTTCAAGGTTTGTTCTGTCAGCGTTGGCTTCTTGTGGTAGCAGTAGCTGGTCGATCTCCATATCCCTGATTTCTATGTGCATTTCTATTTATGCGTTTAGTGCGTTTAAAGGTGCTCCAAGTTCAATTATTTTTACAGAATAAACTGGCTGATTTGGTGGCTAAGAACTTTTGCGGTGAAGATCTCGTGCGAAGGTTTGAAGCGGCAGGCTCCAGTATGAGTGAAAAACAACGAGAATTGTTTAATCTCACTGAGCAGGACGTTTATGCCATAGCACCAGGTGTTTTGGGTGAGTCCGAATATTTATCAGAACGATATTGATTGTAGAACATTTGATTTTATTCCCTTTTTAACCTTTTTTTTTACATTTTTTTAACCTCATGCTCATATCTCGCTTAGGCTAATGTCAGAGTCTGCGATGCGTCGCGCTCGCGCGAATCGCTAGTGTCCCATTTGAATATTTGAAACACTGAATATGAAACAAGTAGAATCATGAACAGTCGTCATTCAACCATCACCATCCACGACGGCGGGGTTGAGAGCACCTTGCAGTATTGATCGGGGCACTTGTGATTTCTGTGACCCATCGCGCGATTCGCGCGACGGATCGCGGTCTCTGACACCAACCTTGATTCCATCAGTAATTTACGGCTCTCTCAGCTTCAATCTAAGAACATGACATCTTTGGTGTGAATGTTATGAATAACTCTTGTCTCAGCGACTTCCTCCGCATTCTAAGAGTTGATATAGGGGTTTGCACAGTGATCTATTGCAGGCCCGTTCCAGTTGATTCGACCAATGCTTCGAAACGGTGCCCCACATATCACTTACAGTTTGCTTTCCTGTGCCTTCTACAAAAAGCAAATGCTTTTTGATGCGGTTTGTTCTTCCACCATTACACATGTACTGTTTTGCCTATTCAGATTTTTTAATAAAGACGCAAGGCTTCTTTTAGGTCAAAGATGTGCCTCTAATTGAGAATGGTGATAAAGCAGATTATTTACCAATGCCAACGGGCTACGGCTACGCTGCTCCAAGGCTTGTATTCGCTTTCATCACGTTCGGAAACAAAATCGTTAGCAGGGGAGAAGTAGAAAATGATGTGCAACTACTTGAGTTCCAGTACTTGGTAATGTGATTCCCGCTATAGGGCAGAATCATTTATGTATTTTCAAATGATTTGTCTTTCAACCGCATCGTGTAGAAGGTACTCACTCACTTGTTTCATTGCCGTTGCACTAGCGTTTTTTGAATGTTTCCCAGTAAGTGCGTTTTAGTGTGAACTTTGTGACTGACCATTCAAATTCTCTCAAACAAACTCACTTGGGAAGCAATGGAGCAGCCAAGTGACGTTTCCATTCGAGGCAGGGTTTTCGCTCTCTCATTCTTTTTCAAAATTAGTATTACAGTAATCTGTGCTCGGTAGCGTTTCCTGTGATTAAATCCTTATCTTTTTAAAAGCTCGAGCTGGTCTTGCTCAAATAATGCAGTTTAAAAGTACGTTTTATTGAAATGCTGGGCTGCTATAATAAAACTTCTATTCCGTTAGTTTTTTGTATGCTTCCAACGTAGCTTTCGCTGTATATTCCTATATTCGCTTTTCTCTATTTCACACTAATGAACAGTGTACGTCATCAGGATTGTGCTATCCGACACTGCGCCATCAAGCGGTATCGCATGGTGCATGTCGCAAAACGCTTTTTCCGGTTGGTAAACCATTGGCCCAAGTCAATCTCCCCATGCAGAGGTGAAAACTTTATTTCATTGTTCTATTTTTTTGATTTCCTTTCTCTTGTGTTTAAGTTTCTTTTCAACTTTTTTTATTGGGTCCCCTTATGCTGTTTTGTGCTTGTGGAAATTAAAATTTTGGCGTGAACTTGCTCCAGCCTTATAAATTGTACCATTTTTCAGCCTACCGACATGTGCCTTGTTCAAGCTCGGAGGACGGAGAGTTTTCCGATATCTACAGTTTGGCAAAAGTGTGGTTAGTCTGCACTCATACTTTTACCTTTTACTGTTTATTTTTTATAATTTTATCACTTGTGAGTTTTGTTTATTGCATCTTTACTCACTTTATTTTCCTCACTTCCACAGCTTTCAGCTCAGCTCGTTTGGAACATTTTTTGTATTGAGACTATTTTATGGTGGCAGCACTGCCGTTAGCAAATCATTTTGAAAAATTAAAATGAAATCGAGGACTCCCTCTTCAAACAACAACTCGTTATTTCCAATTAGCAATAATCAGACTCAACAAGAATGTCGCCAACTTGTTGCTGTACCTCTGAAACCTGAACATTCCTAATAGATTGAGAACAGGCGAGAAGACGTGATGTGGTTAAACATTTCGAGAGACGTGACTAGTTCTGGGACCAGCAGGAGTTTTGTTAATCGCACCTTCTCTTCTTCCCGATTCGATCTCTTGTTTTCCGGGAGTTTTTGCCTGCCGCCACCGGCAGAGGAACCACAGTTGCTATGCGAAAGTTTTCAGCTTTCCAGCACTTATATATTTGCTTTGTATACCCCTTGTTGTACTCAGCTCTTTACTGGTGTCGTCGGGTGATGCATCATTATGGAGTGAGCCCATACAGTCGAGCCGTTCACCGTTCTCTATTCTTACCCTGGGTTAAGTCTTTGCGGGGTCCAGGAGAGTATTTTCATTTTGCCCAAAGTCCTCAAATACCCCCCTCCCTCAGGCTCACTTCGCACAAGGATGCCACCGAGCTGACATCAGGACACTGCGCAATTGTTCGGTCACTTAATAGAAGATATGTTCCGCTTTCAATCAAGAAAGGGAACCATTTTCTAGATATAAGCGAATAGCATATTTAAACATTATAGGTAAAGAGGTTCACCGGTTGCGTCTCCTGAAGCCATTCTCTGTTTTAGAAGATTGCTGAACTTGAACTTGACTGAAGAAATGGGCGGAAATCGGCTACCGCGTGCGTTTTTTGTCGCTTACAAAAAGACTCAATCACTAAGAAGAAAACGACCACAAGAGACCGACCACCTTCAGTGGCAGTATATAAATGTCAGTCTGTATTTGCTTTTAAGATTTTTGTATCACGCTTGGGCGCGTAATCTGCGATAGACCATCATTTGCTTATTTTTTAGGAACCGAGCTCCGTTACGGACACAGAATCGTTATCCTCCCGATCAGAAGGCATTTTCCTTGACAAGGGACGCCACTGAGACAATCAGCAAGTACCAAAATGTGAGTAAATATGATTTTAAATCAAATGTAAAACTGCATGACGATACTGTAGGGACTCTGCTTCAAAGAAGAAAACAATCTTGTTCTGACGAGGTTCAAGGAATCGGACTTGTGGACAAAGACGAGAGCCTACGCTTCATGGCTGAAAGGTTGGTTAACTCCGCCAAACATCTAGCGCACATTCTTTGAAGACTCGTATCTTGATCAGTATTCTATGTGTATTGCCATTTCCATGAATTCATCTGCTTTTCTGAAATTACATAATTCAGACAAGGTTATTTGTCCTTGGTGCGGAACCTTGCCTTAATATGACCAGTGACGACTTAATTCAAGGAGGCCGTAAGGTGTTCCGTATAATACTTGATGCAGTTCTAGGAGTAGGTCGTTTTTACCGTATTAGACCGCTACCTATTCGATCTAATTTACTTTTTTTTCAGAGAAAAGTTGAATCTCTAGCACCACTCGTCATGGGAAACTCTGTCTTGGATGTTCATCGGAAGCAAGTCTGGGATTTGAAGGATAAGCAGAGGAGTGCTCTGATGGTCGGTATGGATTATGTGATACATTTCGCTAAGGGTAGATGATGTACTTAAGTGGAGTATTCTCTTATAGACCATTTGATTGCACCTTTTAGGTCACTGATGCTGACTTTGTTGGACTGAACGGGTTCGTTTACAACTGGGATGGATTTGGGAGCGAAAAAGGTAACAGGTTCACTGGCTTATTGGTTATTAATTTATAAAGCATCTCATTGGGTCAATTTAGTCTTTTGATAAATTGGCTTTCGTATGCATTCTATTTGCGCTTTTTTTTGCCAAATCTGTCCTCATCTGATACCGCAATGTCATGATGGTGAAAGAGATCTGAAGGATTTTCTGGCAAACTTAAAACGTCCTGGTTTTATAATGTTTAGGTTGTATTTATATAGAAACAAGTAATTTACGAAGAAAAACGATTGCTTGAATACTGCGGCTATGATGCACATGAATAGAGGTTCGAGGCTCTATCGACGATTATCCTATCCGCTAAATAGATTCGCGAGAGTTGCAGAGGAAATCGTTAGAAATCCCCCTTCTTCAAGTATTCAATCATTCTAGTAGCGCTATTACGAAAGAATGAATTGTACAAGTTGGTAGGTTGTTCATCAGTACCTGTAGTCAAATTTATCAATATTTCTCACCATAAAAAGGTATGCAGGCGATGAGTTCTTCGTTGTCTATCTTGCAATTTACAATTACTTATTATTTTTATTATTTAATGCATCGAGGACGCGACCATCTGGCAACAAACTCAGAAACAAAGCCGAAAACATCAGGATACTAGAAACAACAACAAAAACGGTACGACCTGAACTAGTATGTGGTGACCCAGTAAATATATTCGAGCAGGCAAAGCAAGAATAGCTACAAAGATAAATAGGAAAGCCGCTCTCATGAAGCACCGAAGAGCAGAGACTATGGATAAAAACCATAAAGACAGAAAGAAACCGCTGGAGAACCAAGGGCCACCATCGTGTCGATAAGCTGAAGAGTGGACCGCCAGAAACCCCAAAACAAAAAAAAACACAATATCTGGTAGGTTCTCATCCAATAAAATAAATTAGTTTAGGCGCGACAGCTTCCATTTAATCTCGAGAAGGAACGGTTACTCCTACGGATGCCATACGATTATGGTTTTATTACGCCTCGCTATGTTGTGATGCGAATTGATATGTGTCATCAGGTGAGATTACAAATATTATTTCGGCTTACGAGTGGAGGTCAACATGGCCTATCGGTTGAAGTATGTTCTAGTCTGATGATACTCTACAATTCCTGAAATTCTGAAATTCGTTACATGTGGAATGGCGGGCATAAGGGGTTAAAAGGGGTTTTCCCATGTGGTATCTTCAGTTCGTTGCTCAATTTTGATAAAAAAGTTCTAATCAGCAGCGGTCATGGGATAGATGCAGGAGCGAGGTCATGGGTGCGTCCCTTAGCGTTATATCCTTGCCTGCTTTCTCGAGATGTTTCACATGGACCTATAAAACAACTCAGTTCACTTAAAGATTTCCTTCTTATTTGACACCAGAAGAGAAGAATGAGTGTCTTTTTTATAGGAGCTTCCTTTGGAAACTTCGATTATATCGATTGCCAAAAGAAGTCCAATCCTTTCTACATTACCTAGCCAATTACTTTACAAAAGGCAGTTATGCTCTAGAAACTCATCTTGCGTGGGCTATTTATTAATTTTTAAATATTCTGTTACATATCACGTACTCCACCTCATGTTGATACGTAGCAACCTGTGCATCTGTTTTCGTCCAGAAGTATATTCCTTATTTTGAAGCTTCGCCTTGCAATACATTTACGATCACGCTCTTTCTCGCTCTTTGGGCGGTACGGGCGATGGAGCCAGGGCCTACTGTTTGACTACTAGATCTACGTCAAGCTATTTATCTTTTATCGTTCATTTTACGACATAAATCCTCGGATCGATTTGTGTGGGCAGGAATGGCTAAAAAGTAAATTGCCCTGAACAATTCAGACGTAAGGGAGTACGTATTATTCATGATAACAAGAATATGCAAAATTTAGGAGCTTGAGATCATTACTCGCAACCAGTTACACCTGCACCGCTATGGACATTTGGTTAATATACTGGAACAATTGATCGTATCTTTTGCATTTTATAGAGCTGGTCTCCAGAGGTCATGTCCTCGCTGACAGGGACGCTGCTCTAGCGTTTTTGGCCAGCGGATCACTGTAATGGCTCAATTTTCCAGAGCTACACCGAAGTCTGGAGTTAGCAAAAAACTTGCTGACCCCTTCAAAACGATACCACACTTGTTCAGGGTAGGTGTTGGTAGGTGCTGCTCGAAACATTATGCCCAGAAAATGATGAGAAAATGCGATTGATAAAGATTGCAGGTGATATGTGGTTAAGCAGAGTGTACCGAAAGGCAAAGAGCTTACACGCAAAATTATTATCGTATCGTTCTTTCGCTAGTGGAAGCGAAAGCACTCGTGAGTTATTGCTTTATAACGAGGACGTTAAGAAAAGCTAGATTTGAGCTTGGCGCTCATTGTAATGTACATATCAGCAATTGACACAGCTTCAAAATGGGCACGGATGGACGGCAATTCATTGTTAGGCAAACGAGGCGGATCATGAACCTCCAAGGAAACGGGGAGATTGCGTATAATTTTCTCATGTGTCTCATTGTGAGCCAATCGTTGATTTACATAGTCGTTGTCGAGTTTGATTGAAGCGCAGTTTCAGCCGGTGTCTCGTCCGATGTACGCACTGGCATATGCTTGCACGATAAGGAATGTATATCGATTTGCATAATCACACTCTTTTTAGAGTGGTCAAAACGGCTAGGAAGAGTATTTTAGAATTTTGTATTTTCAAAGCCAATGATTAGAATAAAAGGTGTTCTGTTAGTGTAACCCACGCCCCTCTTCCTCATTTACGCATACATCGGTTGTCAATGAGTGAAAGCGGTTTATGGCAACCACTATTCATTACTTGAAATTTCATGTGAGCTTTTGCTTTTGTTCCATTTTTACTTTTAAATTTTTTTATTCATTCCAATTGAAGTTCATAGTTTCTTGTGCGGAAAGAGAGGGATTTGAGCTTGACCCATGACTCTGAGAATACATGCTGCAATACATAGTGGCTCAGCAGCGGATTTACTGTACTGTCAGTTCTTGAGATGTCCTGAAGGCCGGTTCTGCGAGTAAACAAAGCCATTTAGCAATGGGTCCTTTGCGCTCAGAACAATCAGTCTTCTTCATTCGACCGCTAGGTCTACACAGCTTTTCAGCCACTCGTTCTATCCTTCTGACTAGGATAAATCTAGTCGATGCGGGACTTAGGCTGATTTGTTTTGATTCTTTCTCGCCTCGTTTCTCTTGTTTTTCGCGTAGTCGTTCGGTTGGTTCGCTCGTTCTTTCGAGCCCTATTAAAATATAATTTGAGCTTGCTCTCTTAAGCCTTCTCGGTCAGCTCTGACTGTTCCATTACTCGACGGGCGCACGAAGCTGATGTAAAGCTTCAAAGTGTATAAGTCGGATATAGAATGGTTGAAACCAGCACAGTTCATTTTTTTGATTTCTTTAAATTATTGTTATGTATCAACTGGCGGAGATGGTCTTCTGAGCGCGAGCACCAAAGATTGAGTATACGAAGTTCTGGCTAACGTTTCGGCCGTGTCGCCGTCGTCAGAGCCTGGAAGTAAGTCAAAGATAAGTGCGACCTAGCCTCCAAACACAATTTCGAACTTCAGAGAGCAATTCGTTCTAGACCATAGGCATCTAGATAGGAGGGGCAAGACACAAGCACTCGTTAGACTCACCTCTAATTACACGACAGGTTATTGCTTAGACCACCGCTATTCTGACCGACAATGGGTGGCTCCGGGTGACCTGACCCCTGACATGAAGCCGTTTGGACTTGACCTGCGGGCTTCGGAATGGCGCACGCCAACGGAACGAAACGTTAAGCCAGTAAAGTGCATCGTATAGTCTATTTGGGTGTCGGCTTACAGAGAGCCACGTCTAGCCAAGTGTACAAATAGATACTAACATAGTTGTACTGTTGGTAGATTCAAAAGTGGCATGATCGGAGAATGAACTCTGCAATTGATTAATGAAATTGTTGAATTACAAGCACTATTGCTGAGATCACGTCAATTCAGTTGTCGAAGTTGAGACAGCAACGCGAAATTTTCTGCTAAGCTAACAGCCAGCCACACAAGTAAGAAATTGCGGGACTTCAAAGCGTAATATAGGAAGGGAAGATTCGTGTTGAAGTAATGCTCTACAGGTAGAAAGGAGTAGCGAGTTGGTAAAGCAGTGCTGTCATTACCAGTTAATGCGACTATTCGAAGTCTTCAATGTGGCAAGTTTGGCACCCCAGAGCCGAAAGGGTTAAGATCAGGAGTTTCCCCGTCTTTGACTTTAGGTTCTCCCATGGTTCCCATTCTAAACTCGGTCGGCTGGTGAGCGTACCCCCAAGATCGTCTTAGTCGAAGTCGGGACATAGTGCTAAGCAGGAAGAGCAGATTTTAGATGATGAGTCACGTATGTCTTTGGTTTCTTCCGTATTCTTCCGTGTTATCTTGGCGATGAATGGGCCGATGTCAGTGCTTGCATTAGAAGTCGTTTGTTTGCTACAATTGCAAGGAGCGACGTAAGATTTTACACCAGCATCCACCGATAATTTCGGCCGCCATAGTTGAGTAAAATCCCGTCGCTCGCAGCTATCAATGCCACCAGCGCATAAGGAACGAACTATCATCAGCCCGAGCCATCACGACGTTGCTCCAACAGTGCGATGCGAACCTAGAGATTTAACCCGAGCACAGACCCCCACCCGGCACTGGGATCGAGTGGTACACCTCGCCGTCGCTCCTGCAATTGGTACAAAATCGCTCCAACCGCAAAGTCTGACATCGGCCATTCCGATTGCTCCCTCCTGCTCTGCTTTGGAACCAGGTTGCTGATTTTTCGGCCTAGATGCACCCAACTGGAACATTCGAGGATGTTTCCGTGGAGTGTGTGGGTCAAGTCGATGAACATGAGACGTAGCGGCATCATGTACTCTCGCGACATTGCAAAAGAGTCTCGTAACCGTGTGAATTTGTTATGAGTGACTGTAAAAAAGTCGATTTTTTGCATTCACAGCGCGAATTTTTTTTGCTGCGGGTGCCTGGTCTATTCTTGGTCAGCGTCTACAGTTATCGCGCGCATTTCGCGCTGCGCAACGTGAGAACGTCTCTTTCTGCCCTAACGAGCCATACACTGGATGTAGTCTCCGAAACTATGAAGCGAGTGTTAATCAACGGAATCAAGTAAAATAGGTCTATATTGCCATACGAAATGCAGAAGCTTTTTGTATGTTCCTATTTTTCAGAAGTTATTCATTGCAGAAAAAGAGGTTCAATGACCGACGATAGTGAAAACGGTCACTCAAGAAACGCAACTGATATTTATACGGCGTCAGCCACTCATCGAAGAGTCGAGGATCTAGGCACCAGCTCCAATCCTATTGTTCTCGGCGCCTCTCCGCCTGAAACGCGGATTAGCAGCGAAATTCCAAGAGGAAGAGGGCATTTTTCTACTCGATCGTCTCGAAGAAAGTGTCCTCTAGGCGCATATGTTGAGGTAAGAGCCAAATCGCCGCAAATGCTTCTCAGTAAATAATTCTTTTTTGAGATTATTGACGAATCAATACCTCCACGAGTGCCGATTACTGTCTCGAGTAATACTGTCACTACTAATACGGTTCGTTTTCTTACCAAGTTCATTTTGAATAGTTATATGGCAGTTTAAATTCACGCTTTCCGTGAATTAGGTATAGCGATACACATTTTTGGTCTATCGGCAGTATTTTACTGTGCACAATGTGTGTGGTCACCGCTTTGACCGAGTTCGCACTAGATGACACCTGAGCGCGCGACTGCAATGCGGGCAGTACTTTTGGCTCGCTCACATGTCACGTGGTAGACGTTTCAGCTTTGAAAGGCTCCTGAGATGTTCACTAGAGGGTAATCAGTTTTATACATGATTGGGGAAGGTCACCGGAAATGACGTGGCGGCCACCGCACTTGATACACGCCCAATCCGACTTCGAGATGTGGACTGTATGTGGCTGCGATACTTAAGGTACGAAAAGGGGCGTGTTGCTGCTTGCTGGGGAGGGAATTGAGCCAACGGTGGTATGGTAAGAGTTGCGGTGCCCGAGATCATAATGGCACGATTTTCGTACCTAAATTCCGCCAACTTGGCTCAACAACAAAAGAGATTGAATCTGAGCTGAAATGACCACCCCTTCGGGCGAATAAAGCAAAATTCCCGTGAAAAAGTGAGCTGCCAGTCAAAGACAAGATTACAATCTTTGTGTTTGAAGACATGTGAGTGAGTGAAATACGTGTGAGCATGCATTATTACATCTGTTACATGTCATTTTTTTCCAGACGACCCCAACCACCAAGTGTCAGTGCAGCCGTCTTCTAATGAAACGGTATTGACAATTATTTGCACACTTACTTCTTTATTCTTGGCGAGTACGGCTATCAAATGGTGCATATGAGCACCGCGTTGTAGCAGTACATTAAAGCCAGTAGAACCTGTGACTTAGAACACATGGCAGTACTTGATTATTGATAGCAAGAACTTCAGCTAAATGCGGGGGAGGATTGCTTAGCATTGGTTGCTCAGTCAACCTTCGGGTGTGGTTCACTAGGACAGAAAGCGACTTTTTCGCGTTTCGCAGCGCGAAACATTTTTCGCTGCGGGAACCTCAGGTCCACCGCTGATCATCAGTGGACCTGAGGTTCCCGCAGCGAAAAATGTTTCGCGCTGCGAAACGCGAAAAAGTCGCTTTCTGTCCTAGTGAACCACACCCTTAACCTTCAGTTGGGCCTCGAAAGGTTGAAAAGCTCTAATGCTTGAAATGTGAAGGCCTCAATATGTATGTATGCGTCCACTGGTAAACCGCAAGGTTTCTTGTAGTCTTTCAGTACTATCTCCATATATGAATTGAATGCGACCAACATAGTAGTCACTGAATATTTACTTCCTTACTTACTTTCTGAAAGTGGGGACGTTAATATTTAGTGAAATTTGATTTGCTTCTAAAATAGAATGTTTTTAGGCAGAAGAACCGATGGATCAAGCGTCTTCAATGGAAACAACGGTACTTGCTTAGTATAAAGCGTCCATTCAAGTCGTTTTTACTCATAGCGTTTATAGGAAGAACATAGTTCTTTTCTACAAGTTCCTGGCAACTTTGAGATTCTTATGAGATGTTCAATTTGCATGGAAATATTTCATAACCCAGCTACGTGAGTTTTTGAGATTTATTCCATTAGAAACCATTTTTTCTAGACAAACTAGTGGCTATTGGTCACTATGTTAGAGCACGATGCCATCCTGACAAAGACTCGGCGATGGCGCACGTCACTGGGTCCACCATAAGTGGGTCTATGACGCGATCTTCCAAACGATGATATATTGGTTTTATGAACCCTCCTCTACTGTGTTACTACAGTTTAGACGATGAGTCCTGTAGCAAGCAAACTATTTGCAAGGCGTTTGGGCACAATGGCCCGTATCCCCACACTAGTCTATCTGGAGTTAAAAGAGGATTCCGCTAAAGTGGAAAGTCGAAGAAGGAGAAACTTACCTAGTGAACTTACCTGGGGCACACGCTAAGGGTAGGAATCGGCATGCAATTAGCAGCGACAGATTTGCCTCCGGCGACCTAGCATGGCCGTTTCCGCGGCGCTGTCGACGCGGCACGCTCACTGACTGGCTGCTCGCCGCTGGTCTCCAGCCGTTTAGAAGAGTGTTAGCGTTGAAGAGGGCAGCACCGATGAGAGTCGCATCAATGCGGAAATCAACGGGGAGGAAGGGGTCCCATTTCTCGGGTAGGCCGTTTCTCATGGTTTTTTCTTCATCCCTGCACCACTAACCACCTCTACCCTAATTCTAATGGACTGCATTACAGTCGTAAACTCCGCCTTCAAACAAAAATTGTAACCCATACCGTTGAGGAAAAGGAGGTAGTAAGAGAGCGGGTGGCATAAAACATTATTAAGGCACATACCACGTGATGTGTGGGTTTACGACAGGAAAAAATTTCGAAGCGTTTATCGTGGATAGCTTACTTCCTATGCGCTGTGGAGCTGTGAAAAGACACAAAATCTTTCCTTGCAGAACGGTATATCTACAACAAGAGGAGATTGTAGCACCCGAGTGATCTCAAAATGTGTTTACAACATTGGAGTGTGCTTAGAAAATAAAAGCCTTTCAAGGGTTTGTTCTCACAGCATGAATGAGGAAATGAAACCAACCCTACGTTTTCAACTTGACAGTTCGAGGATCACAACACTTTTGCGCGCTGTCGTAGTTGGTTTGGGGGGGGGGGGTGGTCGGCACAGTGCTTCCCGTGCGCTGCTTTGGCTAGTGAAATAGTGTACGCTCATGTCAATTTTATACGAGGTGTGGATGGGATTACTGGACAGAAGCGCCATTTTTGCGTTTCAGGTTTTTGCGCATTCGCGAAACATTATTTTCGCTGCGAGTCGCCTCTATGCCCGTTGATCATGAGTGGACCTGAAGCTCTCGCAGCGAAAAATGTTCGCGCTGCGAAACGCGAACAAGTCGCTTTCTGTCTCAGTGAACCACACCGCACGGGTGTTATTGACTCACCCTACCCCACCTCCAACTGTTAAACTGCTTCAATCCCTCTGGCTTCTTGATTCCTTGTATGAGAAAACTGCTGAAAATCAAGACATCACGTAACTCATTCTGGAACTTAATTCTCTCGAATTTTTCGAGAACACAAGCAGATTTGATGCAATTTCCTAGTATTATGGTGTTATTTTTTCAAAAGTTGTCTGATTAGGTCCTCATATTTAGCGTCAGTCCATGTAATCACAAATTCTGTTACTCTTGCTTATTGTCATGGAAAAGGACAAATCAGACAGCTGTCTGCCCTCAGGTTAGCGTGAGATCTTTTATATAGTTCGTGTTCGAATATGAATATTTCAGTCGATAACTTCAATTTTTAGTGTCGTGGACCTATTCATTCAATGCAGAAGGACGCGCAGTTCAACGAAGTCGTTCAGTCATTCTTGCTTGCGAATCCATGTGGGTGATTATAAAGTTCGCATGTATTTTCTGGAGCACTATTGCTACATACCATGCACTTCGCTATATTGCAACAATAGTAGGTGGCTGTCCACACTGCTTCTCAGAAGATTATAAGTTCAGGAACGTATGCGGGATACCACAATCATTCGACATTGGGGCGTTGGCAGTGGGGCGCGCAATGGCCGATGTCAGACTTTGGTGATACCGATACACACGGCGCCGCTCGGGTAAATCTCCCGTCGCTCGCATCGCTCAAGCGATCCGTCGCTCCTGCAATTGGTGCAAAATCGCTCCAATCGCAAAGTCTGACATCGGCCAATGTCAACTCTCATCGATTTTCCATGCGTGCTCGCCTCCCAGTTCTTGTTTTCTCTGCGTTCTCTCAACGAGAAGAAATGTGTCGAGCAAACTCGCCAACTATAGGGCGCATGCATAGTCGGTCGTCCGACAGCAACGATTGCTGCACAGCATTGGATGCGTATCGATCGTCAGACTTGCCTGAGTATTCGACGATCGATACGCATCTAACGCTGTGCGACCGTTACGATCGTTGCTGTCGGACGACCGACTATGCATGCGCCCGAACCGGGCGCTCTTAGTGTAGGAGGTGTAAGATGACACGCATGTCGGATTGACCTCACGTAGGATGGGGCTGCACGTGGGGATTACCTGTCTTTGCCTGCGCGCGCAACGCTCGAACGCTGCGACGCTTCTCCAGGTTGCTGCCATGGGGGGCCGGGGTAGCCTCGTCGATTGCTGTCGCGAGCAGATTAGCACTAGCGTCGCGCACTGAAGACTTGCAACTACGCTCCGGCTTCAACGCGGGTTACGGTATACCATCCTGTTTTCCTGCGGTTACGGGGCAGCAGTCAACCAGCCGGTGAGAGTCAGACAGAAAAGCACATACTTTCTGCTACCCTAGGACTAAGCCTTTTGAAGGAAGGAAAGAAAGCAGAGACGCTGCAATAGTGTGCATATGCGAGAGTGCCCAGAGAACACTACAAAACGCTGAATCACCAAGGCCTTGACCGCTGCCTAATAACTTCGGGCTCGTAATCTTGTCTGCTTCTCGCGTGTTACATGTCGTTATTGCGGACTTGGTAACACAATTTGCATTAGATAGCATCAAGAACTTCAAAAAAGACGTGTGACATCAATTTTCCGAAACCTGATTCATATGTGGTACTGAGTCCGCAGTTACAACACGCGTCGTTGCTGGAAACAGAGTATAGATCTACGTCCTGCTTACTACCTAGTGAGTTTACGGAGAAAACCGCTTGGTTTTGTGGGTTTCATTGAAAAAAGCTTATTTCCCGTAATATTTATATCCACTGCTGCCAGAAAGAAATGGAAAAGGGGCACAATTTATTAATTATGTAACAGGATAGATATTAATCTTTCGAATCAGTGGAGAAATAAGTGGGACAGAGTGCAAGAAGTGTGAAATGGGGAAAACGTAATAATATGGTGAATTTAGGAACTGTCAAAAGGAGGATAAAAAGATGGTTATACGTAGATAACACGGTCACAGCTAAAAAGCTAAATGCCATTCTTACGGAATCCGGCTTTCTTGAAGTTCTAAATTTGGCTCCCGTGTAGTGTAATTAACTTTTCATGGATCCTGACCGGTGAGAATTCTTAATTCAACAGATTACACTAATTGTTGAGTTAGTTATGTTATTGATATGTCTAATAAGTTGTGTAAGAACAAAATAGGCAGATAGATTACAGCAAGTGTAAGTTAACCTCCCCTTCAAAAAGCGTGCAGAAGAAACACCACAACTGAAGTAAATCTGGTTTGAAGTTGTTCATAGTGATAGCTGATTTCTGGTAAATGATAGTTGTAATTAGTGACAATCGATAGAATACAACTGCAACAGGCTAATCATTTCATTGGCAGAAAACATTAACATTTTGTGAAGGCCGTCGTCACTTGTGGTGCATGGTCTGCACCCGACACTTTCTCGCTTTTTGAAGGGGAGGGTAATGCAAACGGTAATCTTTTTGGCTACACAGTTCCCGATGTCGTACTGTCGTAGTTGCGTACTAATCAAGAAACGTGGCGGATAGATGACATCTAGCGCATCAAAAAGCACACTTGTTATCACAAGAATGCTGGGTTGTGAACAAAACTTTCGCCCCAGGCGGGACTAGAACCCGCACCTCTCGCTTTCCGGGCAAGTGCGCTACCAGTTACGCTACCGGGGCACCATTTCATTCCAACTCAGCTTTTCATGGTATACGTACCATAGCTTTCAGCACTCACACGTCTAACGTGTTGAGCCGGTTAGCCGATATCGGCAATGACCGCGAGGCTGAAAGCTTTAGCAATGAATTTTGACTTGTTTTTGTTTGTTAACTGCTGTTTTTGGCCGCAGTTCGCCTTGCGCCTTCACACCCGCTAGGTCCCTGGTTCTTTGGTGTTTCTAGAACCTTGTTCTTTTATATTATTCAGGCAAAGAATTCTACTTTAGCTAAACGCCGCTCTTCAAGTGAGCTCGAAGCTCTCGATGCAATGGAAACTGAATGTACGGAATGGCAGAACGGAAATCAACGAGGGCGTCGACGAGGTTCAGTACCGCAGCCGCGAAACCGATCTGTGAGAGATAGAACCGTCCGTACTCCTTTGCTAGTTCGCGTTAGCCAAATTCGTGCTCATCGGCCAGCGCAACGGCAGCGCGGTCATCGGGGAGTTCTTGAGGACTGGTTTAACCTCTAGAAATTAGTATATTTATGAATATACATACTATTGTAACTTGCCTTAAGTTACGCCCCACTGGTATTCAGGCATTGCTGAACATTAGCCTTGCAGAAAGCGCTGAAATTTCATTGGATCTCGTTGTCCTTTTCCTCCTTTCTTTTTTGCATCTCTTTCCATAGTACAATTCAATCTTTTGCCCGAGTGCTATCATTTGGATCAGATTGTTTTGATGGAGCTGTAAGTTGTATGGATTTAATTGTAGGAACACTTTTGAAGTATCCCTAATGTGTTTTCATAATCTGTGAAGCTTATTATTGGTCTTGTTTATGCTCTAGTACTTGTTCCATATTTATTCATTAGATATCTGTACGAGAGTTGTTACTCTCTCTAGTGCAAAATAAATATATAGTATTAATAGGAAATTGAGTGGGACCTGTCGGTTTTTTTCCTTTTTGCAGATCATGTAGGTCTTTCTGCGCCTCATAGCAATCTTGGCTGAAGTCCGAGTTCGCGCTCCATCGCGCGATTCGCGCGAATGGCAGAAATCGCAAGTATCAATACTGTGGGGTGCTGTTAATCTCGCCGTCAATCTGCCTGATAGTGGTGGCTGAAAGGCGACTGTTCATGATTCTGCTTATTTCATGTTCAAATCCAAAGTTCATTCAAATGGTCATGATTCTATTCTATGGTACTTATTTTTTATTCGAACCGAAACTCAGCACGGATTTTCCGATACGTGAATTTGCTAATCAAATTTGACAGTTAGTTCGTTTCCTCATAATGGGGATTTGGGGTGTGGTTCACTAGGACAGAGCGCGAAACTTTTCCGCTATAGAAACCTCAGGTCCACCGCTGATCATCAGTGGACCCGAGGTTCCCGCAGCGAATCATCAGTGGACCCGAGATTCCCGCAGCGAACAATGTTTCGCGAAAAAGTCGCTTTCTGTCATAGTGAACCACACCCGGGGATCTGCACCAGTCCTTCATGCCTTCACAAGTTTTTTGCTCTTCTATGCCATCTTATGATGAATTCGAAAGAATGTAACTCAGTGCCGCCTCTGAAAAGAGAAAAAAAAAACGAAGTGTCAATCGAACCGTTAAAATTAATATTTAATTCATGAGTGTCATTCAGTCATCCCGATCAGGCATCAAATTGCAGCGGAATAGCAGTAAATCACAATATTGGTGGGGCCGTTGCATTTCTCGAATCCACCGTGCGATTCTGACACGACCTAACCACGCTTGTAGCTTCTGTGCTCGATACTATTCTTCATTCTTGAGGCACGCTGTGCTAGCAGCTGAGATGATTTCTCCACATGGTGACGAAGTTGCTAATTAGGTCCTGACGACATAATCCAATAGACCCATCCGATGGGGCATGTGATCCTGTACACTGCAACACTGAGGCCCTGTTCAGAGATGTCCGCCGGCGCGAAAAAACGCACAGGCGAAAATCTCCGCCAAGATTTAGATACGCATCGACTGAGAAATTGTGAAACGCGTAAGCGAAACGTCCGGAGCAGGCGAATTTCAGTCAAGAGTTTGATATGTATCGACTGTGAGAAACGCACAGGCGGAAAATCGCGTGAGCGAAGCGTTCGTAAGTCGATGCGTATGATACTCATTTTCGTCGATCCTCCCACTTCACGATTCGCCTGTGCGTCTTCGTTCAGTCGATACATATTTCACATTGTTTCGCCTATGCGTTTTTTCGCGCAAGCGGACATCTCTGAACAGGGCCTTACGATCCTCCTTTTTACATTCGTCTAGCATACATTATACGGCTACAGCACTGCACCACGATGTGCGCCTGGCTCCGCCGTGCCAATCCGATTCCAGGCCGAAGCGCCGTCATTTATTTTTGTGGTGCGGTCATCGCTATCACAACCCTGCAGTGTGTGCCACCTGTCATCATGTGGTCATCGCCACATCTGACCATGCGCACAAACCTTTGTCCAGTCTGGACTTTTTTTTTCTGAATTTCTGCTATTCTATTGTGTCCATGATGAAGAGCAGACATCCGCATTTCCGTAGCTTTTGACCCATGAGTTGTATCCACTGGGAAGCCTCGATATCCAAATTTGTTGTACTTGCGCATAGAAGTGCTATATCGTAGCAATGATTAGACGACTAAACAAACGCTTCTCGTTCTGCGTCTTACAAACTCTAAACTGAAATGCCATTTTAGCGCCAAAAACCGTTGGCTCTAATAGGTGCTTACAAAAATGAGTACCAGTTAGGCGTATGTGGTTCACTCTAAGACAAACAACGGCTTTCCTCACTGGCTTTCGCAGCGCGAAACATTGACGATCTGTCGGACCTCCAGTCCACCGGCCTGCTTATATGACCCACGTTCCCGCAGCGATCCATCCGTGGACCGAGCATCCGCAACAAAAAGAAATCAAATGTTTCGCGCGCGAAAGGGCGGAAAAAAAGTCGCTTTCTGTTTAGTGAACCACAGCCTCTAGCGAGTGCACTTACGTACTTTTAAAGGATAGCACACATTGTCTTAGGTTAGTAATACTATAGCCTAGAGGGGAGGCGCTTCAAGATGCATGCCAGGCTACTGCGGGAAAATGGATATGTGTTAAATCGCTTGCGTAGACTCACCACTTTGAATGCCCCCGACACTATACTACAACCGATCAGAAAAATCAGTCACCAGAAGATTAGCAGAAATCACGACACGAAGCGGCCGAAAAGTGAACATCATTCTTTATGCAGGCACTCATCACTACTGGATAAGCAAAAGTTTTCGAGCGACTTTTTTGCGTAATTTTGGGAGAAATCTAGTCGAATTAGAAACTGAAATATCTGGAACTGAAAGCAAGCAGCCACATTCTAAATATGGCTGGAGACCCTTTTTTCTTCAAAATAGCCCTAAAGCAACTACATGAAATTATTGCTCCTGAGACTGACACCGAATAACAGGCATCGATTCATGATAGTTTCTTGACACACTGCGGCAGCCTTGACGCGCATGCGCGTCAGGATTCTGTCATCTATCTTTCGTGCATGCGCTTTATAATCCATTTCACGAATTAATTCTACTGATTACATATTTACATCTGCTACACTAACTCTACTGGTCATGAACAAAACTTTCGCTTCAGGCGAGACTCGAATCCGCACCTCTGCACCAATCCTTCGCCTGGAACTCCGGGTCCAGTGGTGATCAGCGGTGGACCTGAGGTTCTTCAGCGGAAAACGTTTCGCATGCAAAAGCGAAAAGCACTTTGCCTAGTGAAGCCACACTCCGCTACAACCGATACGCCTGGCACTGCATCGTTCGCACCATAACTCGCGTAAGAAGTTTGTAGGGCGGTACCTTCCGGTACGTAACTTACAAACTGCACTCCCCTAAGCGCCAGGTTGCGCGGTTCAAAGTCTCGCCTGGCGAGAGTTGTTCATAACCACTGTAGATGTTGTGAACTCTTCGCAAGGCGAAGTGGCCGACCACCAGCCCTTAACAGAAACAATCACATTCACACCTCCTGTAAATTACGTGGAAACCACAGTCCGAGTAAACAGTGACACCCGAAGCTGACGCGCAAGCCGTCAAAATTTGCAAAGCATCAAACTTCTGACGCGCGGAGCAGTGTCATCCTTTCTATCGTGCTCGCGTCTCCTTCTCCCAGTTTTGTATTCATTTCTATAGATAATACATTAGCATAACTATAAACCACATGGCAGCCAGAGTGGTCAAATATCCCTTGATTTAGCAAAGTTTCCTCTGAACGCACAAAACTTTCATTTCAATTCTTTCCTAGTATTCCTTTCACTGTCGTAAACATTCACATGAAAGATTGTAGAAGCAGTTAATACAAACTTTGTGAGTTTCAAGATATTTGTATTTGATGGAAGAACTTAGGTATAAATGCTTTTAACTTCATTCGCAGCGAAAGTGATGTTTTTTGCTTCTTCGTGGTCATTATGCGTTCTTCTAAACAAAAATCTACTGCCATTATATAGTTAACCTTTATGCTTTCATCCTTGCCGAAATAATTCTATGAGATTCAAGTTGTTGTGCATTTTAAACAAAAAATAAGCGGAAGTAAGGTGAGGACGGCGCGCTCGCAAAATCGCTCCTGTCCCACGCGGTGCAAAATGCCAAAACACGCGATGTCGTCAACGTGTTAAAGACGCTCTGATTGGGCAAATGTTTTCTATACCTCATGAAATTTCCGGTTGGATTTACTGTTCGTTCTTGTCCAATTGTCATAATCATTCATGTAGACAAATTAACGGTGGAAGTGAGTGCAATTTCTTTGTATGACAAGATAATTGTAATGGAACAATCGAGGTTAAAATGCTATTGGCTTCTTGATTGCTCTTCTTCTTGACATTACACGTCTTTTTGAACTCAGTTCCAGTAAGTTCTATGCTTTTATCATTAGCGGAACTGCTCGGTGACATGTTCTGTCATTTAATGAAGAAGAATTATACGGACGTGAGGTGAAGCCGACGCATTCGCGTAATCGCTTCAGTTCCACGCGGTCAAGGAAGTCCAAACACGCTTTGTCGGTTAATTAAGCATGTGAAGATTGGACATTGATCGTTTGGGCTCAAAACTGTCTTTTATGCAGCAACAACCAATTACAGCGGTCTGATCGGGAGGATAGTGCACCTGTGAATGTACGTGACGCTTCTTTTGATGTCATGATATCCACTGCTTACATGTGCTCGAGTATTATCTGTTTATCGTCAGTTGACTGCTTTTATATCATTGGTTCAATCAGTGTAACGGAGCGTTCATAGTTGGCGATCGTACGTGCGATTAGGCGATTAGGCGATCATTCTATAATGAAAATATACGTATAGATTAGGCGATTAGGCGAGAAGGCGAGCAGGCAAGTAGGCTATGTATTGTTCAGAACCTCCATACTTTGCTTTTATTTTTTCATGATCGTCTTTTAAAGTATTTATATGTTGCTAGAAAAGATTGCTATAAGTGACAAAACATATCGAGGAAGCTACACGAATACAGAGTTGCTAGAAAAGATTGCTATAAGTGACAA